GGACGAAAGTAACAGGTGGTCTAACTAAAACCTGATGTGTAAAACCCTGACCAGGAGGCTTGCTCACATAATCCGCGTTATGCTCCCTGGATGTGTACATCGGGATCATTGTCATCAATGGTTAGTGATACTGAGTGTCGTAAACAGTGGTGCTCAGACATCTACTCCCTGTGACCAAAAGACAGCAACCAAGACTGGCGTACGAAAGTACATGGTTACTGGTTGTAAAAAGTGAACTGAACATAATCATCTACCGTTTCACAAGGGTCCCTGGTACATAATCCTATGCGAGTGTTTAANAAACATTTGTAACGGGATTTTGCAGTTCTTTGAGTGGCCCATTCAGAACTCATTGAGTTAGGTTGCCTGAAAACTGAATCCAAGGACCAAATGACACATTGAGTGTTTCTGTGTTATACGTCAGGAATTTCAACAATAATTTTTTACTTGTTCGCTTGCTAACGATGATCTGTTGCAGAAACCCTGCATAGCAAATCCGTTGCGTGGTCAAACCTTACCTTCCTTTCACTTTTGGACGATTGGGAAGAGCAAGACTAGGCATTGAGTAACGGAAGTTGAGCAATAATACAAATACTTGCTCGCAGGACACAGCGATGTTCCTGATAGGTACTGTGCTAATCTCCGTACGGGTCTTCTGGACTTTCGGGGCTTACCCTGTGCAGGTGGTGTTTGAGCTATGGGGGTATTCAGTTCATGGCCTGATGTGAAGGGATATATATACGGATGCGCTTGAGCGTGTACACTTTTGTGACCGAGAATCTTCGGAACAACGTTAAACGGTTCACTCATGCATAGCAGCCTTTATGAATTTATACCGTATCCTTATGCTTGATATTCCCCGTACGCTATAAAGTTTTTTGGTGAGAACCTGAATCTACCCTAAAAATATTCTGCGATTCAGGTGGATGACGGGCAACAACACCTATATGTATGCCGGATTGTCAATGATTTTGAGCTGTTCGTTTACCCGGTCTTGGTTGAAACTGGAAGTAACTGCTGGTATTAGATGTTCATGCATATATTGTGATAATGTTTAAATTGGAAAAAACCAGAGGAATTCTTTTGATTTTTCGTTTTTAAGCTTCTACATAAATACGCCATAACAGAATAGCAACGAAAGTTGCATTTTACAGTAAACTGGGTCATTCTGTTCAGATAATCTCTTCTGACTGACAGTTGATTGATTCCTGTAACTACCTCAGAAAAATGCTACGTTTTTGTTTGCGTATTAGTTCAGGATACTGGATCGAATCCCCGCTACTTCGGTTTCGTGTATAATCCTCCTTAGCAGGTTTAGAATAATCCAGTGTTTGGTGATAATTTCATCAGTTGGGAATAACTACAAATCGCTTCCAGCAGGAAACTCATTTTACACGCCCGTAGCATAAGGGTAACATACCGCACTGATCTCGCTTACCTATGAGCAGTAAAGGAGTTGGTGAAGAAGCGTAGTCTGACATCTTCCAAATAAGGTCGTCGATTGCAGCTCGGATTTGGCCGTTGTGTAGCACTCCTGTCACGGGTATTCCAAATGATCTCATTTTAATTTTCTTCCTCTACTTCGTTTTACCGATTTTGCAGCTGAATTAAGTTCGAAATACCCCTATTCCGTGAGACGAACAAAGAACCACATGCTTCCAATCTATTATGAAGAAAAGCAGCGCAAACTGGCCGAACAGGCACACGGAATTCGCCAACTGACTGTTATAAAACACATAAATGGAGACATGTGGGTAAGTAACTATAACCGAGTAGAAGTTGATGGCGCACTGAACTGTGCTAATTAGATCCAACATATATATATATCCCCTGGAAATAGTAACACTTGATAACCGAGGAATCAACTTGCCGAAGTATGGTGTTTCATAGAAGAGGGTCTGAAAACCTTACCATGTATTGACTTTCATGCGCAGTTCCATCTTATCCATTTAAAACCCTGTGATGATAAGCTAAAGGTTAGTGAACATAATTCATCAGCTTCGATGTTTTCCCCTCATTACCCAATCATTAGCTTTGTACTTTCGTGCTTCGATTTAGTATGAAGGAATACAGGAATGAATGTTAAAGGCAGTGACAACGCGAAAATAAAGAATGTAGGTAGAATAAGGCTGTAGAGATTGAAAAGATTTACCAACGGTTGCGCTGACCCCAAAGTACCAATCCAGGAAGCCGAACGCCACCTATGTGACTGAGTTTTCCGGTCAGCGTTTTCAAACCCTCTAGCCAGATCGTCTGAAAACCCTCAACTTTTTCCTACCCGTTACTTGCCTCGGCAATCTATTTGGTGATATGTGTGACACGTCCTGACAACTGTAATTTACGAAGGCTGAGTACTTGCTGTAGGTTATTGAAAACTTTGCGATCAACCTTTGTTTCAATATCTGACCCACAAGGTGGCAGGATTATTCAAGTTTTTCTTCAAGGACCCCTAACCAGAGATTTCGACTTACACGAGGCGATGTGTAGATCCAACGCGGTGACGTGTTAAAAACGACCTTGAAGGAGCTTCCAATGACCTATCTCACCAGGCGTCTGGGGTAGTGTTTCGTCTGCCGATTGTCTGTCCGTTCTTTTGGACCGACCGTTACCCTCAGGAAATGAAATAGTTGGGACGTGGACGGGACAGTACCTTATCGGCTGTGTGCAGCACAGTTTGGTGGGTTGTGGCTGTTTAATGAAGTACGAAAAATTCGACTGTTAGAAGGGATCCCCGGGTGCCCCCCACCCATGTCCATCGAGAGTTAGTTTTGGCTGCCCTCTGTCCACTGACAATTGAGACATTATTATTGAATCGTCGGCTCTATAAACCATCCGGTGTAAGATAATGGAGTCACGCAAACCATCACACCACACCAAGGTGCAACCTCATCGTAATTGCTTTTTCCAAAAACTATCTGGAAATGCAGTCATCAGAACCCACCTGAAGCTCAAAGCACGGGCTTGTTTTCGAGTCGAGCAGCCGCAAGTTCAGTTACATCCCAAAAGTCACAAGCGATCGGAGCTGAAATTCTTCAATAAAAATCACCATCGGCAGATTCAACTTAATATACATGCTTTCAAACGAATAATTGATTTAATAATTCTATGTACATATTTCGCACTTGTCTGAGGACAGATTATGTGCCAGACAAATCATGGTACAAAAATCATCATAAAAAAGAAAAAGCGTTCCATGACTGGTTTGTGGGCTGAATACTGCCAAGTTGCCCAGGCCAAGGCAAGTGAATTTTCGTGGGGAATTCACAACCGTAGCCTTCGGCTAGCCAACGCCTGACCCACAAGGTATCGGTGCGGTGTGTGAAAACCGCAGTACATTGGGAGTCGGTGTCCAGATTATCGGATCATTCGCCATTCGAACGGGGTCGAATGTTCAAGGTGCACGATACACCTCAATACCCAATGGAGCCGGTGACCACTGACACAACCAAAAAAGTGT